TGAATTTGTTTAAAGGATCTCCAAATTGTTTCATAGAGTAAAAATTACAGTAATTCTGTATTTCAGCTTGTCCCGCGGATAAATATTGAGTGCATTTCTTCGTGACTCGCAAACAGCTGGGGCACTGCAGCCTTAGGGATTAACCCTGCCTGGTGCTCTCTACCTACAGCATTTAGTGCTTTCAGTGGGAACTCTGAGTGTTCGGCATCTTCCGGGATCGATCGGAGCGCAGAGGATTTCTGCACCAAACTGTAATGGATGTTATCAAAGGTTCGACACACGAAATCCCCTGGGAGGAATTCTAGACCCTTAAGATAACAGAACTTGATAACCTCAGTAAACAGCTTGAGTGTGCGAGGACAGGCGTTGAGCAGATTGGCTTGCGTTCATAGAATTGCACTGACAGTGTTTCTTATAGGATTACTGAATAATTTTTTAATAAAACACAGATTTTATAATCAGGAAGCCAATGCTAGGTACTGGAACAATAGTACGGAGGAGTTGATTTTTATTTCTACAGTGTTAAAAGTGCACTTATATGCTGGTTTATTTACATCTTGGGGAAAGGCGAGAGACTGCAAATAGGGAGATTATTACTACTTTCTTTTTTAAAAAAAGAAGGCTTAAGGTAAATTTTAAGACTAAAAATGTTTAAGCAATTATAAGCAAGGCTAGACCCTTTGAAAAAAAAAGTTTAGAAATATTCTTAAAATAAATTTTTATAGTGTTAATTTTGTAATAATTTATGTTTTGCTATACTTCAGAGCTAACTGACCGTATAGTTTCAGAAACAGTATGAAACTTAGGAAAGTTTAAGCAATGTTTATATTTTTAAAATGTTCTTTGAATTATGTTTTTATTGTACATTTCTTCAGACTGAAAAATGTGTACATATCTTTGTTATTTTTGCACAATTTTTGTCTCGTTCAGTTTTAGGAGCAGTACTATGTTGATTATTTTTTTTTTTAATTTATTTTGAGTTATAAAACCGCAGGAGTTTATCAGTCTCAGTAACAAACCATCCTCTGTAATCAACGAGCGGCTGTTTCTGGTTGTTGAGGGAAGAGAGCGGTGGTGAGGTGCAGAGGTGGCTTCTGAGGAGCAGCGCTCAGCAGGGGCGGAGGAGCGCCGTGCTGGTGCTCGGAAGCTGCAGCTCTTTCCACGCCTCTTGGGATTGGAAAGCTGCAATGTGGAGCCTGTCCTTTGAATGCTGCTGACTTGTTCCGTTTCATCCGGCTTACACCTGGCAACACTGGGGGAAGTGAAGCACCAAGTAAAAGCCCACAGTCTTTCATCGTCAATAATCATTATTTAATTACGAGTATTGAAAATTTCAGCCTGAGAAGTGAAATGGAAGCAAACGTTTGAATAAAATGGATATAAACTGGACCAGCCTATAATGCATTATTAGTGTAGCATTCACTCGGTAGTTCTTTTTCGTTACCCTTTGCCTGAAAATCTCGTGGTTTGTTTCCAGCAATAGAGGCTCAGAAGCTTTGGTTGTTGACATACGCAATGCATAGGCCCGTCAGCCATAAAAAGCGACTTGGATAACTTGTATGCCTTCTTTTGTATCGATGTAACAATTGTAAATAGTGCTGATCGACCTTTGTAGAGAATAGTTTATACAGCATATTCTATTATTGCTGATTCTCAGTGAACTATTGTTTTAAAAAAAAGAAGAAAAAAAGAAATTTTTCTATTTACACCTTATATTTTGTTATGCTGTCGACCCATGGCACTTTAACAAAACTCTGTGGGTTTTGCATAGCTGGTCAGTCATGGGGTATATTAAATAACTGTTGTTGCACAGAAATGAATTTGCACCTGCTATATTGTGCTTTCCTACTACAGATTTTAGAACCTTTTCCAGAAGACTTTTGAAGAAAGCATGTCCAATCATTCTAAGAAAGAAATGCCATACTTGTACAGCCAATTTCTTTTCTACAATCCATATTTTGTAACACTAAGTATTTTCATTCTTTGTCCTGCACCTTTATGTATTAGCAGTATCAGATAGAATCCATTCCATGCTTGTGATAATTGTAAGCGGAATAAATGTCTAAAGTAGGTGTAAATAGTAAATTCTATGGCTTACAGTTTAAAAAAGGAAAACCAGAACAAACATGTATCTGATTGATACTGCCATGGTTCAACACCGGGCCTGGAGATATTCTCTAGTGAGCGATTGTATTTTTGTTTTTTTGCTTTATTATTATTATTATTTTTTTTTTTTTTGTAACATGGCTTTGTAAATAAAATAATTTATATGTTTGTAAGAAACAGGTGAGTTCTGTCATTATTTGTCTTTGCAGAGCAGGAGCGGTGTGTGTTGCAGGGCTGCCCCTTCTCTTCCCTGGGGCTGACGTACAGAGCACAGTTGGATGGCCGGCACTGAGAGGTTGTGCCGGGGATCTGCCCAGCTCCCTCTGCAGGGCTGAACTGATCTGGAATTATTTTTGGCACTCGTGTCTAAAATATTCCTGTGCTTACACATCAGATGTATCCTCAGCGACTGAGGGTTTTATACTGATCAGTCGTGTTTCAGTTCCTCTGCTTAGCTGAATGTGTTTTCTTCTTGTCGGTGTAAGAATCAACCTCAGCAGAGCTGCTGGATTTGGGAATTCTGACTTAGTGAGCAGTGCAAATATGTAACCAGTCTTTTTTACTGTTGTTAATTCTAAAAACGCAACTTCTGTCTCTAAGTGCTACGACCCTTGTTCTGTGTGAAAGCCTGCTCCAGTTACAAATGAGACTTACGCTGTTCGGTGCCTTGTCAGCATTGCTGGTTTTCCTCTTGGCAAACTTCTTCTGCAGGTCTGAGGAACGCGTACCCTTCATGTTTCTCCTCTTAGGAACAACAATTTTGCAGATACTGCAGGAAAGAGACATCATTGCAGCATGGTCTTGAAAGCAAGAAATCGAACTACAAGCTGGGGTTGTGTTTGCATACATTTAGAACAGGCAGAAGAGATGGCAAGCTGCCCTGGCTTACAGGAAACAAAAGTAGGAAGAAGACTTTACCTTCCAGCTGAAGAGCGTTGTGTGTAATGCCTTGCTTGTTCTTGATGCCTGTGGCAGAAGCTAATCCTGAACTTCCTCTTTACCGCACAGTACGTTTGGGCTGCTTATATTTTGATGTTTCTTTTTAGTGTTGAGTTTCACCTTTTCAGTACGCTGTAGAGAAACCAAACATCATTTGGTCACAGTGCGTGTTGAAGTTTCATCTGACAGAGTGATCTCCATGTATGCCTGAAGACAGCTGAAGAGACACTGTGTTTGTGAGATGGTATTTCTTACAGGCATTAGGAATCAAGGCTACAACCAAGAAAACAGATGATTGCAGCCACGAGTTACTGGTTGCTTGCCATCATCTGTCACAGCCAGCAGAGGTCAAGGGCCCTACATTTATTTTCCAAATATGACTGAGTCATTTATTAGTGCTTGCAGCTTTGCTGTCCTGGTTTACAAGCTGTTCTCTGTTTGGTTTCCCACACCCTTTTGGGTTATGCAACAAGTATTTTGCTTGCAACAGTATTCTCCTTTTATCTAACACGCTCTAAATGCCACCAGTTTCAGAGGTAAGCAAATCACACCAGAACTTATTTTATTTATTGCACTCCAGTTCTTAGGCTTCTGTTTTTACCAGGGAAATAACTTTTTTTAGAAGAAAGTCATTGCTGTCTGCAACCAGTATCTGTTTTACTCATCCAAATCTGTCAGGACTGACAATTGGAAGCCACGCCAATTACTGGCTCCAGAAATGTTTGGAGGCGATTCATGCAGCACATTCAAGCTTTTGAACACAGTGTTTATTTCATGCAATTTTTTCTGCTGTTTTTCTCCATGAGAACCTCCTGAAAGGTGTGACTCCAAACGAGTGCAGGCCTCTTTTAAAACTTAATCTCCTAGGCTGAGGGCAGCTGCAGCTGGTAACTCAGTAGCAGGCCCTGGTTTCACTTTCAGCTGCAGAACGCACAGTAGATGGCATGCATGCTCTCCTGTTCTCATTTCGTAACGCATCACAAATTACATGAGCTGGATTCTCCTTTTTTTGGGTGGGCAGAGGGGTGCCTTTTTTAGTGGGAAGGGCTGACCTGCAGGAGCATAAAGATCTGTGAGCAGCTCTCCACAGAAGGAAGAATTCTAAACAACACATAACGTGCTGCCAGCTGCATCAGTATTTGACTGGCAGGGGAGAAGGGGCAGATGGGCATTTTTCCAACTCAGAGGGTAGAAGACTGACTACAGCTGGCAGCACGGCTGCCTGCAGGCCCTGCTCCTCCTCCTGTCACTCTTCAGGACTGTTGGTAGTCTATGCAGTCCAGTGCAATGAGGCAGAAAGAGGAGGCTGAAGTTATAAGCTGTATTCTACAAGAGGCTCATCTCCTGCCACAGCAGCTAGTAAGTAAAAGTCTTTTAGCAAAATTCAATTGTAAATAAACAACCACACAAAAATAGAAATGATCCTTGCGGTTGTGATTAAAACTTAATTAGCAGCAGCATTACTGTGATGAAACCAGAGGTCTTTCAGATGCGTTGTCAAATCCCATTTTTCTTCATCAGCAGAAGCGCAGTTCCTCTCGGTGAGCATCGCAGAGCTCAGAGCTCACCTGGTGCAGCACGTGCTGGTGCTGTGCTGTGGACCGAGGACAAGTGCCCTACACCATGTGTTAGCAGAACGTTTTTCAAGGAAATAAATGGTGCCTTCTTAACAAAGAAATGACTTTATATATATATATATATGTATGTATGTATGTATGTATGTTCCTATGGAGGTTTGCTTTGCTTGGTGATTCTTGGAACCGTACCTCTCAGAAGCACGCTGACTGAAGCCTGCGGTTGCTGTGCGCGCACACTGCAGGTGTCAGCTTTTCGACGTGTGTTTCGTGCTGGTTTCTGCTGCTGCCCGCTGAAGCGGAGCCGTGCCGCACCACACGCCGTTTCCCTGCCCCGAGCGCTGACTCTCCGCCCCCTCCCGGCCCCGAGGTCCGCCTCGCTTCGCCCGCCCTCCTCGGCCACCTCCGAGGTCTGCGACGGCCGTGAGGGGCGGCGCCGCGGCGGCGTGGCGGCGCGGGCTCCTAGCAACGCGCCATGGCGGCGGGCGAGCGGCAGAGCCGCGAGTACCTGGAGCGGCACGGGCTGCCCGCGCTGCTGCACCGCCTCGCCGCGCTGCTGCTGTACCACCGGCCCGGTGCGGCCCTCCGGGGGTCCGGGCTGAGGGGAAACGGGGTGTCGGCGGGTTTATCGCCGCGCTCCGGAAGGAGAGGGGTTCCGTCGGGGCTGGGAAGGAGACCCTCGGGGCGGGCGCGGGAGGGGCAGGAGAAGGGGCGCGGGGGGCCCGCGGCAGCCCAGGCCTCGCTCCGTTGCAGAGCGGCCGCGGCAGTTCCTGCTCCAGGCGCTGGAAGCGGTGCGAGCGGCGCGGCGCGGCGAGGCGGCGATGCCGTCCGTGCTGGACGAGGCGGATGTGGAGACCGTGTTCAGGATGCTGGACGCCGCGGGGCGCGGCTTCGTCACGGGCAGGCAGTGCCGAGCAGGTCGGTTCCGCGGCCCCGCGTTTGCTAAAAACGTTTCAGGTCTGCCTGCTTACACCGTGACGGCATCGGCGTTTGTGCCGACGTGGCCGGCGCTTCGCGACGTTTAACACGATCGCTTTTTTAACGATATCCCGGTCGCGTTCTGCCTTAAATCAGTCTGCCGAAGACTTGCTCGGGAACCCCTTCCCTTTCCTTCAGCTCTTACGACGCTGGGGCTGAGCACCGCAGAGCTGCGCGTCGGGGATGAGGAGGAGATCGGGATGGCCACGTTCAAGGAAGAAATGTAAGTAAGTGCCGCCGCAGGGGTCCTGCAGGAATTTCCTTGAAGGTTACCCCTCGCAATGCAAGACCTAGGAAGGTCGATCTGTAGCATGGACGGGCTGCTGAGCTTTCGGGATCCCTGCAAAGCAGCTCTACCCCATTTCCCCCCACAAACCGGGCAGCACCGGGCAACCCTGCAGATCGTAGCAGCATAGAGTGGCTCCTGAGTTCCAACCGCCCGGCACAGGCTCCAGCTCCGGTACCAGAGCAGGCTGCCCGGCGCCACAGGGGGCAAATCGCTGCTATAGAAACAGCGCGCTCAAGCAAAGCTGACCGTTGTAACGCGGCAGGGGCAGCCACGCAGCAATGAAGCGAGCTCCAGCTTGCGTTCATTGCTGATGGTCACGGCGTGCTTCGAGGGACGTTGTTTGGTAACTTACAGCCACTGCAAGAAAACAAAGCAGTTGTCCTCACTTACCTAAGCGGATGTTCTCTTCTGTCCTAGGATGAAAACGTTGCTGGAAGGCTGGACTGTGGAGTGATTTAAGAGTGGTCTGCCCTGTATATTAGAAATAGGTATTTTGCTCCATCCAGTTACTGGTGGGTCAAGACAAGTTTAAGCAGTGCATTTATTTTTCCCCCATCCATTTTAGCTGTCGGCTGAGAGAACAAATGACAAAAACATGTTTGTGCTTACCAGGCACTAGAAATGCATTAATTAAGATAATAAGATTGCCTGAATAAGTAGAAACCCTGTTTACAAATCAAAAATAAGTGTTTTGGCAGTTCCTCCTTCAACTGTGGCCTCACAGTGCTGGTACGAAAAACATCATCAGCTTCAGCAACTTCAAAATGTTCATGTTTGGAGAAATACAGCATTGCCAACGATCACAGCTTTTAAGTAAGCTCATGAATAAAGGAAGTCCTACTCAGAAAACAGAGGCCACTTTGGGACAGCAAAAAAAAAAAAAGAAAAAAAAAGAAAAAAAATGGAATTTTGAAATAGTATTGATAAATAAAAATGATACATTCCTTCATTCCATGCTGAGATTCGCTGTGCACATTTTAATACAGAACACCCATTACACCAGGGATTGAGAAGTGGAAAACATCTGCACTTAGGTGAGAGCATGCCAGCTGTCCATACTGCACATAGCTGCACGTGCATACATGCACCAGCTCTGAATTCATTATACCAGTGTGACAGCATGCCAAAGCAACAAGGCAGGCCATCCGAAAACAAGTAACACATTCATTAGTAATGAAGAACCTGTGAGCTTCTAAATGTCAAGACAAAGTAGCGCTGAAAAAGAAAGATCTGTGCAGTTAGAAGTCAGCACCACAGCATCTTAAAGGTTTTGTTTTTTTGGAACTGTATAAACTGAATAAAAAGTAAGGTTATATCAAACCAATGACACAGCTTTCTGCTTATTTTTTTTAAACAAGTGATCTAGATTAAGTTTTAACCACTTCTGAAAAAAGTCTTTATTTGCCCGTACTTGGCCAAATAGCTCTCAAATTGAGAAGAATCTCAACATCCTGTTGTGCTAATTTGTAAACTCCCAGTTCATTTAACGCTGCTGTTGCTGATGGCTGGTTTGGCTGCAATGGCGCTTCGCTTTCTGAGGCTGACTGCAGTACTTCCTTCAGAAGCAAGGCAGAACCAATATTCAGATTCAGGATAATGCAGGCCTCTTTGATGCTACATGAGGGGAAAAAAGGTACATATGGATTAATAAAAGAAGCAACCATGGGATACTCAACTTTGTATGCCCAGCAACTAAGAAAAAAAAAGTTCCCACTGACTTCTGAAAAGGCTCAGAAGTACTGAACTGGAAACTACTGCTTATAGCATGACAAACATGAGGGTGGATTATGACAGAACAAGGGGGAATGGTTTTAAACTGAGACAGAGGAGATTTAGGTGAGATATTAGGAGGAGGTTTTTCACATGGAGGGTGGTGACGCACTGGAACAGGCTGCCCAAGGAGGCTGTGGATGCCCCATTGCTGGAGGCATTCAAGGCCAGGCTGGATGTGGCTCTGGGCAGCCTGGTCTGGTGGTTGGCGATCCTGCACACAGCAGGGGGTTGAAACTGGATGAGCATTGTGGTCTGTTTCAACTCAGGCCACTCTATGATTCTATGATTCATTCTATGAAATAGCATATTTATTTTTGCTAAGTATTTGCTATTATAAATGTCAAGACTGTGCCTCCCCAAGAGGTCCCTGGTGATCCACATATTTTAAGTCTTTCTTCCCCTCTCAAACTAAGAAAAGATTCCTGATATGTGAAACACATGCATCTGGACACTCTTTTCTGAAATACTGACTGATGAGACTTCCTACTTACTGCTTGAAGTAGTTTTCCGGCCTCTTACAGTAGTGTGAAAACAAAGGAAAAAGGTTTCTGGTCATGTCAAACTGAAGCTGTGCTGCTCCTCCTTCATTGAAATGATTTGCCATAATTATCTGCCAACAGAAAGGGGTGCATCTTCTGTTTAGGCCAGCCCCCAACCCTTACGCTGTGCCACGTGTATTTTGTGCACACCCACCTCCTGATATATGTAAGTGTCCACTTTCTCTGCGAGCATTTGCCAGAATATTTTAAACAGAGAGTGACAGAGCTGCTGTTCCAGTTGTAGCAAGCGGTCTCGTAGAGTCAACAACATTGGGCAAGCTGTGCTTGACAAAGACATTACTGCCTGCTCTGCCTGAGATGGTAAAGATAACCACCTGAAAGAAATCACCACTGACGTCATCACAGTGAAATTATTCGTATTACAAAGCTGAAGTTAAAATATCACTTAAACAAATCTTAGCTGTTCTCAATGGTGCACAGTTTTCTCCCTTTCCACTTCAAAGCTAAAAGTAATCGCTGAGCTGTTGTATTTGTTTAATGAAGTATTTTAGGATCTCATCATCAACCAGCCAAGAACCCTTGTGATTCTGTGAAGACAGAACTGGTCACTACATGCCACTTTTAATACTACTTCGAGGAGAACAATTCTCATCTAAACTGTATTTACCCAGAATTCTTCCTTGTTTTTTTAAGGTAACGTGCCCACTTACTGCAGAAGTGCTTTAGAAAACATAACAATAAGTAGGCTTGAGGAAAGTGTAAAAAAACTCTTCAAATGCTTACTACTCTGAGCCCTTCCTATTCAGAAAGCTGAATTTCTTATTTTTCTTTTCTTGCCTTTATTTGCCCCAGTGTTTTTACCAGAAAGAAACTACTGCGATGTGAGAAGAGAATGAGCAGATAGAATCACCTCTCTTTTTTGTACAGCTTTGCAGCATCTGTGACCTCCCTGAAGACGTGGTACACTTGGCGACTCAACATATCGTGTTTCAGGCGTTCCAGGAGGTTGATCATTTCATCAAAGACAGAACTCTCCATTGAAGCCAGCTGCCCCAGCTGCAGCTGGCTGACAGCATCGCTTTCTGCACAAACCTCCAGTTCAGCCTGCTGTAGCTGCAAGAAGAACTAGAGAAAGGCAATCAGATATAAGTACTACCAAAAATAATCTTATTATTTGAACTTCTCTTCTGTACTTTAGCAGAAAACACTCTTCTGACACTATGAAAATCTTACAATTTTAAGATTATAAAAACAATTTCCACATGGTCCCCATGTTTGTAAAAACAAAGCACTGTGTTTCAATCCTAAGAGCGTAACCGATATGGGTTTCAAATACAACAGCAGACAGATCAAAGGAACAGATTCAAAGAAATACTAAGTAGCTGCTTTGAGACAGCAGAACACTTTAAAACAGTCAAAATCACTTGCCCTCGCCCCATCCCATCTGCAACAATAAACTAGAATTTAGAACTTGTTTCAGAATTAACGTCTCATTAAATCATAAGTTTGCTGGTCTGACAACAGCAAGGGAATGGATTGAGTTTAACATGACAGCAGTAATGATCTCCACGTTGCCTCTAAGAACATCAAGATGTTTGTGCAGATGCAGCTATGTGACACGAAGGCTGCTCCCCCCTCAAATCATGATTTCCTAGAGCCACAGTTCCCTGTGAAGGTAAAAAGAACCTGGTGGCTGCCCGTCCCACACACCGTGCCTATTGCACATCTTCTACACGTGGCAGTTGTATGACCTCGTACCGCAGCACTCACAGAACAGCTGAGTCGTCAGCAGGCTGTTGTGTAGCAAAATAACCCACATCCATAACCAGTTATCAATGAGTGGTGTTTCTGCACACCTGGTCTGAGCTGTAACGCAGGTACCCAAACCAAATCCATTTAAGCTAACTTAGCACAGGAGCTCAAGAAACGTGTGCATGCTACTGCTCTCCATGCACTTCAACCAGCAACACACTGGCTCAGATCTCCAAAATCAACTTGCTTGCTTTTACAATGTGGAGCACATAAAGCGACAACCTTTTTGGCTGCTCAAACCATTCCATTCCTCAGGTTCTCTCTGCATATCTCTACCAACTTTACTGTTAATAAAGCTTAAACATCAGACAGTAATCTACCAGTATCCTTTCTATTCAACCTGAATTCATATCTAGTTATATTTTTCCATAATTAATTGTTCTGAATACATTTAAATAATGCTGAAAATAAAATGTTTTATTATGACACAAACAAAACTACTTAACATTTTAAATAATTACTTACTACATTGTCAGCCCAGTCTGCCAGCACAGTTGCTATGTAGTTAACAGCATTGAGGATCGCACAGTATCGGAAGCCTAAAGAATCTCTACTCTCTTCCTTCATTACTTGAGTTAATCGTATCCTAAAATCATCAACCAACTCCTTCTGTAGCCCCAGGAACTGCAGTTTTCTGGAAGCCGTTGGAAGATTCTTATACCTGTCTGGGAATTCATATGTTTTATATTTTCCAACACTGAAAAGTTTTGAACAAGAGACATTACTGGCAGTTTATCCTCACTACTGTAATGGCATCATACAGCACTTCAAAACACCTGACTCACAACAGCATCAAGGAGCACACACCACAACCTCCCTGGGCAACCCGTGCCAGCGCGCCGTCACTCTGTGCATGAAAAACTTCCTCCTGATATCTCACTAAACCTCCCATCTCAGTTTAAAACCACCCCCCTTGTCCTATCACTATCCACCCTCATGAACAGTCCTTCCCCCTCCTGTTTATGTGCTCCCTTCAAGTACTGCAAGGCTGCAATGAGGTCTCCTGGGAGCCTTTTGTCTTCCAAGCTAAACAAGCCCAGTTCTCTCAACCTTTCCTCATAGGAGAGGTGCTCCAGCCCTCTGATCAATCTTAGTATCTCTACTATTAACGAGTTTCAGTATTTTTTAAGCGTTACTTTCTAAATATCTCAATGGCTCAAGATTATTTGCCCTGAAATTTGTGTCCAAAACACAAGATGAACAGGAACATTTTTTACTAAGTTAAATATCACAACTTTGCAACAATTTTATTTGGTGATTGTTGTTGACACAATTAACCTTCAATAAAGGAATCTATTAGCTGCCATTTTTCTGTTACTCGTTATAAACAAGAGGAATGTCCATAGGTTAGCAGTTACCTGTTATAACTAACAACAGAGTCATAAAAGTTTCCGCACAGTCTGGCACTTTCATTTCATCCACATCACTGATATCTTTGTACTGCGATACCCACGCAGCCTCTGATGAAAGCATGGAGTCCATTTTCTGAAGAGCAACTGAGATGCAAAAGAATTGTAAATGTTGTTAGTACTTAATAATTTTAAAAAAAAACCTCAATTATCTAAAACCCAAAAAATCATCAATATAAAAATGTTTATCTCCAGTAAGTTGAATTCTATCTTTTCATGTACAGAAAAATTCCTGACGACTGGTTTTATATAGAAGCAGCTCCAATAACAGTATTGCAGACACAGATGTAACAACATCAGGGTTAACTGTGGTTTTTGTTTTAAATAGTTGATTGGCTCCTTTCCAGTATACTTCCTCTCCATTTCCTCAAAAATTAATACCTTCCCTTCATTTCAATTTCAAGGCTGTCTTTGCACAAATACATATGTAATACTGTCTAAAAATAAACATACTAGATCCCATACAGCTTAGTCTTATAAACTTCAGGAGCACTACTGCAGCCAAACCAATTTTTAGTCAAAACCACCACAGAATACTGAAGTATCACAGAATGGTTGGGGTTGGCAGGGACCTCGGTCTGTATGGCCCAACTCCTGCTTAAGGAGGGGCACCTATGTAACAGGGTGACCAAGGCCACGTCCAGGCAGCTTCTGAAGATCTCCAAGGAGGAGACTCCGCAGCCTGTGCCAGTGCTCAGCCACCCACACATCACAGAAGTTCTTCCTGATGCTCAGATGGAACCTCCTGTCTTCCAGTTTGTGCCCACTGCCTCTTGTCCTGGCACTGAACATCACTAAGAGTCTGGCTCTGTCCTCTGAGCACCTTCCCTTCAGGTACAGAATCATAGAATCACTGAATGGCTTGTGTTGGAACGCATCTTAAAGCCCACCAGCCCCAACCCCTGCCCTGGGCTGGCTGCCCCCCACCAGCTCAGGCTGCCCAGGGCCTCATCCAACCCAGCCCTGAGCGCCTGCAGGGATGGGGCACCCACAGCTCTATAGCAGCTGTGCCAGGGCCTCATCAGTAACGAATTTCTTTTAACATTTAATCTAAATTTCCTGTTTTTTAGTATAAAACCGTTCCTCTTTGTTGTACCACTATCAGCAAACTAACAAAGTCTGTGTCTCTTCTGTTAATAAGCTCCCTTTAACCACCAGAAGGCCACAACAGGTCTTCCCAGAGCCTTCTCTTCTCCAGGCTGACAAATTCCAGCTGCCTCATTCTCTTCTCATACGAGAGGTGTCACAGCCCTCTGGCCATCTTCATGGCCCTCTGGTTCTGCTTCAACAGCTCCACACCATTCTTGTGCTGGGGGCCCCAGGCCTGGGAGCAGTACTCCGCATGGGGCACACAAGGGCAGAGTAGAGGGGAAAGGCACACAGATGAGATCTCCTGGAGCCCACCGTTCTCCAGGCTGAACAGCCCCAGCTCTCAGCCTATCCTCACAATGGAGGCACTCGTCCATTCAGCATCTTGGTGGCCCTATGCTGGACTCTTTCCACTATGTCCATGTTAGCCTTCAGGACAGCAAGAGCACAACTATTGGCTCATGTTCAACTTAGTGTCCATCACAACTTCTACACCCCTTTCTGCAGAGCAGCTTTCCAGCAGGATGGCCCCCACTATGTCCTTGTGCTGGCAGCTGTTTCTTACCATATGCAGGATTTTGCACTTCATCATGTTGGTCTTCACAAGGTTCCTGCCAGCCCACCTCTCCAGCCTGTCTAGAGCCCTCTGGATAGCAGTGCAGCCCTCTGGTGTATCAGCCTCTTCCCCTAGTTCTGTCACCTGCAAATTTACCTGGGGTACACTCTACCTCACCACCCAGATCAACACAGAAAACGTTAAACAGGACTGAGCCCAGTATTGACCCCTGGGCATTCTACTCACTGCTGACCTCAAGAATGTGTCTTTTGTAGTAGCCCCATTCAAGTGGCTGATCCTACTGGAGAAGTATATATTGCCCAATCAGAATGAAGACATACACAGACCAACAAAATTCCTTTTAAGTCTTACATTTCTTTTCCACTGTTAGCCATCTCTGGAAGCAGGACTCTTCTGAGAGAATATGCATGCAACTGGGAAAGCTGCTGAGATAACCATGAACACTGTATAGCTCTCTCTCAAACAGAAGTACCTCATCCACAAGGTGACAGAACAGAGTGTCATCATATAACAGGAATGGAATATCAGCAGCCAGCTTCTCCAAAATCAGCATTACAAGAGCACGAGAGAATTCAAGCTTTTAAAAGAAAAAGGAAGTGAATAAAATATCAGAGAGAGGTATGTATAAACATGTGCAAATGTATTTGACTTTTCAAACTGTTACTGGACTGTGTTAAGTCTCGCTGCACACTAAGTAAAATCAGCAGACGAGTGCCTGCACGAGCTGACTGTGCAGGAGTTTCTACACACACAGCACCACTGAAGCGCTTACCCCAGCATTCACTGCCGATCCCGCCTTGTCCAGTATTGGCTGGATTTTGTCATCAAGGAACTTTGCGTGATTTCCAATCCACATTAGCACTTGTGTTAAATACCACTCAGGCTTATTTGAAAAATAAAATAAAATGAATAAGCTCACTAATATACACAACATTATACAAAATGCTCTGTAGTAGCAACTGTCAGAGTGCAAACACGCTTAGATTTGCCCAAGACTGTCAACACAAACACACAGACTTGTACACCTAAACTCTTACAAAATGGTTCTGAAACCCTGCTGCAGAAGCATTACAGCAGTGCTAATGCTTTGCTTGTAAGAAATCTGCTTAAATGACATTTCTTGGATGAAAAGACTCAGCTTTTGTAGATAACTCATACAAAAAGCAAGTCAATTTTCCAACAAGCAATCTGGACATAAGTCAAACAAAATTATACCCATTATATCCCAGCAGCTGAATCCAGTATTTACAGTTACATGAATGTAACTGAGCACAACACAAAGCCACAGCCTTAAACAATCTTTGAGTTCAAGCAATTTTCAACATTGCAAAATGATTTGCAAGGATGAAAATGAAATTAATCCATGCTTCTGAAATAATGCAAGTGAATCAAAGGTTGCAGTAATTATTTCAAAAAGATTTAGGCAAGAGAAAAATACTGCCTAGCCCAGAAAAGATGTTAATCCTCCCAAAGGTCTCCCAGCACTCACCTATCCACACTACAGTAGATGCAAGTACCACATATTTTAAGAAACTGAATTTCCAGAACAAAAGCGTTGAAGCTATATAATTTAATGCTGCTAAAAATAGTAGCAATAAAATTAACCTGTTTTCTTCCATACCTTGCTTAAAACATTGGTTGGTTTATTTCCAGTGAAATGATACCGGAATCTTTTCTGAAGAGGATTGAGCATGATCTGTATTGGAAGGATAACAGGCGGCGATGGGGGTAAGGCGTACTTTTCTGGCAGTTGTTTAGGTTTGGTTAACAGTTCATCTCTAAGTTTGACAGTTAAGGAAAATACAAGCATTGAGTTGCTCCAAAAGCATGACTTAAACTGTTCACAAAAACAAACAATGTTTTAGCTCTACCTCATTGACTGTATTGTACCTCATTGGCAGCATTACACAAACTATAAAATTCCTCAAATTTGTACAATACTCAAAAGTTTCAGTTTTATAAACTATTTAACATAACTCTGGCTGCTAAGAATTATTTATTCTATGACAGTACAAGTCACCAAAGTCATTATGATTTAGGAAATCAGTATCATGAAACAAAATCCCATCATCATTCCCAAACCTGTATCCAAGAGACACGTGTATTCATGTTTTTTACAGGAGCATCAAAGATTCATGAAAATAATACATGCAATATGTGATTTCCCTCCTTGAAGCAAGTGATTTAAGTGGCCTAATGTAACTGACCAGAATTGTTCCCAGCACCAGGCTCCGTAAAATGACCACATTCATTCCTATTCCAGTACTGTGCTGGGGTTTTGTTTGTTCAAACCACCTCGGAGGGGAAAAAAACAAAACAGCCAAACAAAAAAACCTTGAGTTTTATTTCTGCTTGATTTTACCCTCAAACGAAAGGAAGGGGATGAGCAGCATCTTCTGATTTACCCCTCAAAGGCAGATCAGAGTCAGAGAAGAGACTCACGAAGGTTAAAAGATTTCCAAGATCATTCAGTCCAACCATCCACCTACCAATATTTTTTTTAGTACAACATCTAAATGTTTCTTGAACATCTCCAGGGATGGTGACTCCACCACCTCCCTGGACAGCCCATTCCAGTGCCTGACCACTCTTTCAGAGAAGTTGTTCCTAATATCCAATTCGAATCTCCCCTGGCACAACTGGAGGCAATTCCCTTGTCCTATCACTCAATCACAGAAGGAGATCCTACTGCTACTCAATGAAAATTGTTCTGTTTTTTATAATTCCCTTGTGACACACACATATATTTTCAACTCTCTCTCCGTTCTGGGATGGGACATATTAAAGTGATTAACACTTTTTTGAATTCTAGCTCTGTTCACTTATTATCTCCTATATGAAAAACTACATTCTAATGTTAACAAAAGTAACAAATTCAAATTGTCTTTTTTTCTTTAGCGAGAACAGTTTTACTGCTTTCCACGAGAATGTGCACCTTTGACATTTATTACCCTGACAATACATTAATTTTTAAAGGATACGATGTTTGCAATTTCAGAAGCTGACAGAACAACATCTCTAAATTGTTGTAAACATCAGAAGCATTGGCTGGTGCAGTAAGGCCAAATGCTTGAGACTGCGGCGGCCCCACAAATGGCCAACGAAGCTGGGTCAGCACTTCTTCAAAGTCACTGCAACACAAAACACACACTTTACCACAAAGCTACAGCACAACATGAGATGAGGGAGTGATGAGGCATCCCGTACCTTGACAACTTGTCCTTAAGAATTTTATGCCAAAATTTAACAGTGGATCTCACAAACGAAAGAAGATGAGAACAAGATGACTCCTGAAGTTTAATATCCAGTTCTGCCATAGATGCTAGAGTACTGGCTGCCTCTGGAACATTGTTGGTCATCAGGTACTGCTGAATGTTATCACTATAAAATATAAGAAGAGCTGAAACAAAAATTCACTAAAGACAACACAAAAGAATCAACTGCATACTGAGAAGTTGACACAAAACTTGCTCAATGTAAAATATTTTAATGAGACAAACTAGGTTACCACCCCATCACATACATGTAGTACTCAGCAAGGATTCCTGTACAAAGCTCTTTGTGTGAAATTCCTTAAGTGGCTGAGAGTCTGTCACAGAGACCTGCAGGCAGAACTGCTGAAGGAAACAAACGAGGCCCAAAGTTCCTTGAAGCACTGCTCTTTAAGTAACTTGATCAAAGAACTGTCTTTTCTCTTGCCTCCCAGGAGGAAAACGGGAAACAAGTTTCAGACCGCAGCCGACCTGTCACATTTTTGTAGCTTAGAACAAGTTGTTTCATAACTTAAGTCTCTCTATACAAGATTTGATCCAAATTTCAAATTTCAATTTCTGACATTCTTTATGAGCATTACACAAAACTTTCCACCAAAAGAAGCTACAAATCGCATGAACTAAGATGGCACTGCTCATTCCCTTTAAGATAGAATCAGTGTACCAGAATGAAAACTCAGAATTACAAAGCCCGAAGTGTAACACTTCTGCTCAAGATATTCAAGTGTATTTTAGTTCTTTCACTGTAGTTTACAATGGGTGAAAAAGTTTGATGCACATAGCACCATAGCGAGTTACTGCGCTCTTCCTCAAACCAGAGCAGTAATTTCCAGCTCTCACTGGAGAACACGTTATCAGTTTACATGATCAGATGACAACTTGCTGTCCTCATTATTTCTTAAATTTGTTTATTTACCACTGAATCTTTGAAAAAGCTGTGTGATATCACTAGTAAGAATTCTCTGTAAGTGTATCAGCTTTACCTGAGCTCTTCTATTCGGGAAATCCATTTAAGATAGGACAGGTGACGCTCAATCTCCTCTACCTGGCTGATCAGCACACCGAGATCCTCCATCCACGGCTCAGCTTTCTCTAAGTGGCTGCTGATGGAATCAGACAGGAGAGTTTCTTCCTCTAAAAGCCGATTCAGACTTTTTTTAGAGTCCTCTGCATTCTTTAAGGCATTCTGAATTCTTTTAGGAACTTCGGATGAAACTGTAAGCACCTGCGTTTACAGACAAGCATTAAGGCTCACACAGGAACACCGCACGGAGAAGAAGTAAAGATACTCACCTGTTCTTCCAACTGCTTTTTGTTTTCAGACAGCTTTTCAATGAGGCTGCCCAGCTTCTTCAGAGAATCATAGTCATTCCCAACTTCTCTTTCCACAAATTCCGAAACGTAATACGGGATATCGCAGCGATCTGGATCTCTGAAGACTTCTTTTTTCATCACGTTAACGGCTGCCATGCCTTCTTTCTCTGCAACGTTATTTACGTAATTTTTACTTGGTCACCACTAAGGCAGCACTACCAACTACTGACCCACCGAGGACACAGAGCTGCGGGAAACACAACCTGAACGTTAAACGCGGCCTTTAATAGCAATACCGGCTTCAGTGAGGCGGGGCGGGGCGGGACAGGACAGGACAGCGCGCAGTTCCGCCAGCACCGTGTCCTCCCGCCCTGCCCCCCGGCTCGGCCCGGCTCGGCCCGGCTCGGCAGCACCGCGCTCCCCCGCGCCGCCCCCGCCGCGTCAGCACAGCGCGGCCCAAGGCCGCAGCGGCGGAGGCGCGCGCAGTACAGCCCGGGCGGCGCCAGAGGCGCATGCGCACCTGCCTCCTCCCCGGCCACCCGCACGGCCACGGTCGCGCCCGCCCCCTCCTCTCCCCTCCCCGCTACCTCCGGAGGGCGGCACCGCGCTGTTCCTCAGGCGCCGTCCTGAGGTGGCGGCGCGACCGGCTTTTGTGGCGGCCTCCGTCCCGGGCAGCTGTGCGGAAGGTGGTGGCGCTCCCGCCGTGAAGCTGCCCCGCCGGTTGAGGAGGCGGCAGCCGCGGTGTCGGGCCGGACCCATACCCCCGTCCTCAGAGCGCATGGAGCCGGGACCACCTTCCGTTCATGAGATTTTATTCACACACGCAGCACGAATTCCCGATTTGGTTTAGAATCGCTGACAACGCAGCGTAGCTGCCGCTGCAGAACAGCCTCGTTCTGCCTCCCAGCAGCAGCCTGGCTCAGCCCGGGACAGAGCGAGGCGCTACGGCCTGACACACCGTTCTTGTTGGTTAACGTATTCCCAGCACCTTTTCTTGGCCCAGGTAGTGGCAAAGCTGAAACTACACTCGTTTTCCCCAGAAGACCTTGGCTAAATAAAACAGCTGTGCCTTGTGACAGCACGTAGCCACAGCCTGGCTGACTGCAGCAGCTTCGTGGAAGCAAACAGCCATCAGTACCTTCATTCAGCTCTAATTCTCCTAAATCTGTAACTTAATACAGAGACTTCAAGGTGTGCTGAATTGATCAAAACATCCACTGCTCACTGAAGAAGAGCAAGATGAACATCTGTCCAGGCCAGAAGCTATAAGCCTGCTTCTCAGAGATGCGGCAACACAGCTCAAGCAACCTCATGGTCCATTCATTAAAAAGCACCAATCACTAAGGCTTGTATTACATTACAACCAGCATCTTGCTAATAACTACTTAATTTAAATGCACTAATAAAAACTTAAAAAAATACAAATCTCTTACTGTCACCCTTTAAAGATTTGTACAGAACGTAAGTAAGAAAAAACGTTGTGCATGTTAAAATCTAGGCCGTGCCAGCAGTTCGCTCAGCGGAACCAGGTGGTATTCAGCTGCGTTTGGTTTTTTATGCTTGTGTCCATTTTCAAAACTTCTCGAATTGCCATAGTAGCATAAGTGGAAGGAGGAAGGGAGAACTCCATCTTCAGTGCCCGGAATTTACCATCTATCAGAGGAGGGAGAAAACAAAAATAAAGAACGTAAGTAATGTTTATTCTGAGGGCCATCCAAACTGGACTAAAGTTTTCCACCACCATCCCTGATCCCATACTACGGCCTTTACCAGCACACCCCAGTCTACAGTCCATAGTGTAAAGCAGAATTTTGTAAACCATCTTGTACTTAACATTTTCTTTCAGCAGGAAGTGATATTCTAAGTGTTCATCAAAAACTAGATGGATAGTTTTGTCAGACTGAATTCCTATCCACTGTTCTTTTTTGGTCTGGAAACTACTGTTGAAAGACTTTGTGACCAAAGTTACTTGGAAGATTTACATTGAATTCTGTTAAGTATCTGAGTGGTCTGTTATGCTCAGCACAGATAAACACTCAAACATAGCAAAAAGCTCACTTCCAATTTTTCTTTACACATTCCGTAGAGATTTATTGTGGGATGTTTATTTGATTGTACAGATGTCTGTGAGAACATGCAGCAACCGATACAGATTGCTGGAACAATTGCTCACACTCTTGAGAAATAAAGGTCCTTACTTACACACCTCATTTCGATATTTTCAGTACCACTGTTCAGCAGTCTTGTTCAGTGATGCTCTTTTAAAGAGCTTTCAACAGGTAGCAGTTTAAAACAACAGTCAGATCAACCTTCAGTTTTGCAAAGATCAGCAAATACACCAATTTACCTGTAGGAAGAACTGGTAAAGGTTTTCCTTCCAGCTTATCCAAATCCGTAGTAAATAATGGGATTCTAGGATCATCATATGCAACAACTTCCCTACGTAACATACATAGGATTTATTATTATTATTCTAATTCAGCAGTTACAATAATACAATTGAGATGGAATTACTGTCTATTAAATTAGGTAAGATGCTGTTTATCTTGCAGTAACTGGTAAAGCTTTCGGTACAAAACTTGCCTCTGTTTACACATGGATTATAAAATAATGAACTAGCGATACATTTATTTGCATAATTCATCTCTTTCCTCCCATGGAATATCAGGATTTCCAGCTCTACAAGAAGTAGTTTATGAAATTATGGGAAGAATGTTGTCAACTCTGAGAATACTCGAAGGCTTTTTTTCTTTTCATTTTGAAGAAACCTCTCTAAACCTTTGGAACAGGTTCTTAAGCATTTTCAATGTATTCATATAATAAAGACTATTCAATATGCACTGACTAGGCTGAAAAAGTAACTAGGAAAAAGGTAAGCTTTAAATATCAGTAATAATTAAAGTAAAATTCAAATATTTGAATTTTGTTTCCCTTTCAAACCTTCTATTTTTTTTTCCAATGTAATAGTGATAAGTTTCTTTGTACATTTGTACAGTCACCTGTTTACAAGGTATTTATTCAGTTGCTATGTGACAGCCAGGCGGTGCCACTAATAGCAGTGATCTTGTACATTTACATGATAGAAATCTTTCTGATTGACACCGTTAATTGGAGACCAACTTTCTCATCTCAGGATTACAAAAAATAACTGTTTTGAATATTATCTATCATGCTTTCACCATCAACCTGAGTAATTATGGAGTGTTTAGGCAAGCCCTTGCAAAGGAAGGTAGCAACTAGACAGATGTCTTGACACTAAGACATTACAAAACCAGAGGAGCAGTGAAGAAATAACACTATGATTCAACTTCAACTGTGTGAAAAAGTGGAAAAAAAAAATGCACAAAGATTTCTCCCTACCTATATTTTGTTCTGCATGTGTATGCTGTAGGTCAATCTAATGGTTCTTAGTCAGCCCACATATTACTCTATTCACATCCAAGCTCCTTTGTCCTCCTACTTACCAACTGACATTCTGAGGTCGAATGATAATCTTTCTGTACGCCCCAGAAAGTGAATAGTCTCTGATTTTATGCCTCATGTTGTTGATGTCAAGATTGTCAGCTACTAGCATTTCCTTGTAGGCTTCTCCAACTGGAAGAGAAGATATTTAATCAGAGATTGTAGAGTGGCTGATTGAAATGGGCCATTTTCATAGAGCACTCCTTCCTTTATGCGCATTTTAATAGTTGTCAGTGTATATGGGTTAAAAGTTAGACAAAAATGTAAACTTATTTAGTAAAAACTTTATTAACTCTTTTCTTATACAAACTGATTAACAGAGGCAAATAACCAAAAAACAATCTTTCTTAACAAATAAAAATTGAAGCTGAAAACAAAACACAGAAAATAATTTACTGACATTTCACTAGCATCTCATACACAGTTTCCAATTATCTACACTTCAGAAAACTGATCTCAGATATACGAAGTTTTAAAAAGAAAGGCCAAACTACTGCTTGTTCTGTCTTTGAAAAAGCACAGACTGAAAAGAGTTAGGAAAGCCATCGGAAGAACTTAGCAAAAGGCACCATTAAGTAGCTCTGACACTGCCAAAGCAATGAGTAACTACTATAATCTCATATCCCCTCATAATGGTGTGTGTATATACACCTGGGAAAGATGGGGTGGCAGTGGAAACGTAAGAATCCATTGCAGCTGCAATACTCTTGTTTACAGCACAATTACCAGCATAACCAGAGAAATCTGAATCAATAAGTTAGCCTTCTTGTAGGAAGAAGGAGCTGGAATTCATCCCCGCCATGTCTGTGGACAAGATCAAGCTAAGGGAGCAGTCAGCACACTCAAGGCCAGGACTGCCACTCAGAAGGACCCAGGCAGAGGCCAGATGATTGAGCCAAGAGGAACTTATGAAGTTTGTTAAGGAAATGTCCTTGTATCACAAATCATAGAATTGTAGGGGTTAGAAGAGACCTCAAAAGATCACCAAGTCCAACCTTCCTGCTAAAGCAGGTACCCTACCAGTAGTTCACTTGGGTCAGCATCCAGACAGGTCTTGAATATCTCCATAGAAGGAGTCTTCACACCTCTCTGGGCAGCCTGTCCCAGTGCTCTGTCACTCTATGTTCTTCTGCGTGTTTCTATGGAACTTCCTGTGCTCCAAGTTTTAGGCCATTGCTCCTGTCCTGTCACAGCACTCCACCGAGAAGAGCCTGGCCTCATGCGTTTGCCTCTCACCTCCTTTTAGATATCTATAAACATTAACCAGATCTCCCCTCAGTCCTCTCCTTAGACTGACCCAGGTTACTCAGCCCTTCCTCATACAGGAGATGCTTCAGGCCCTTAATCATCTTTGTGGTTGTATGCTGAACTCCTTCTAGGAGATTCCTGTCTTTTTTCAACTGTGTAGCCCAGAGCAGGAAACTACTCCAGCTGTGGCCTCACCAGGGCAGATCAGAGGGGGAGGATCACCTTCCTCCACCTGTTGGCCACGCTCTTTTCAGTGCACCCCATGAGAGCATCTAGGAACACTTAACTCCTTGTGATGATGAAAGGCTAGACAGCAACTTTAATTGACAGTTATTTGGAAGTCCCAGTGGAAAGGAAACCAGCAGCAAAAAAATCTAATGGCATGCTAGACTGTGTCAACAGAAATGTAGCCTGTAGCTACAGCAAGAAAAACAGTTAGTGCCCCTTACTGGGCTTTTATTAAGTTTTACTTGGAACAGTGTGTCCAGTTGCAGGTATGAGTACAAAGTAGGTTCTAATGAACTAGAATGAGTCTAAGAGATACTCCAATGGCCAAGAGCTGCAGCACATATCTTGTATGGAGAATCTGAAAGAACAGGTCTTCTTTAGCTTAGAGAAGATTCAGAGACCTGAGACA